GTGGAGTGAGAGACTGAAGCTACCAGCGCCGACGATTGGTTTTATACTCCAGGTTCAACGCGATGACAGAGTGAACAGCTACCTTGAACAGGAAGGTTGTCAGAAGGTTCAAAAGCACACTCACGCACACGTACACGTACACGCACACGGACGCACACGGACGCACACTCTCGCTTTCTTGACCGTTGCCCCATGGAAGGAATTTGGCTCGACCGAATATTCTACGCTCTTTAACTTACTTGTATTATCATTTGTGTTTTCATTTTTATCTCAGTTTATTTTTTATTCTGTTCTCTATTTTTTATTTGTCTTATTTTTTAGAGAATATGGTAGTATTAAGTAAAGTTATTTATATGGTGAATGTGTCTTGCTTTTGTATATAAAATGCTGTTGATATATGCTTATTATCTTTATAACAACAACAATAATGATAGTGTTGATGACAATTATTATTATTATTATTATTATTATTATTATTATTATTATCATTATTATTATCACAGAAGCTATAATATTATTATGATAATAATATGATACTAATAATGATAATGATAATGATAATAATGATGATAATAACATTGACAGTCATAGTAATAATGATGCTGATAATAATAAAACTTTGGAGATGATAGTGACGATTATGATGATGATAATAAAAAAAGATCGGGAAAATGGAATTTATAAAACCTCACTCATAAGATAAAAAACGCATTTACACTTTACATCAATAATTACTGATTTTCATTTGTCGTTATTAATTTACACTAATACATTCTGTGAGACTTACGCCCTCAGATCATTACTTAAATTCCAAGGTTACTTTTAAATGCAAGTTTATAAGTATCCGTGTCAAGCAGTACGTAGGCGAATATTTACACCGTCGTAAGTATCGAGGTGAGCGGTTTCTGCTAGTGTGATGAACGTACCTCGCTTGAATAGTGCGAAGATAGCGGAAATGCGCTAAAAAAAAAGATATTGGTGTACTTTTTTCACGTACAGGATTTTGTATGGAATGGTAGTTGTGAATTCTGTTTCTGAAGATAGATGATTTCATGGTAGACAGCATTCGTGGTATTTAATATCACTGAAAGTTCAACATCGCTCGAGCAATAGGATTTTTTCGCTAATTTTTCATGGTTTGGGTAAATATTTTTCATTGTGATTTCCAGTTTGGTTGGTTGGTTCGGTTTAACGTCATGAAACTCCCTTTTTGGTCAAGGGCTAGGACGGGCCTACCCCATGAAGGACAGGCAGGAATTGGCAGTTGGAGACCGTTACCCCGAGTGGATGCCCTTCCTAACCTCGGACCATGGCCGGGATTCGAACCCATGCGTTTGCGGAACCTCCGGCCCACAGCCGCGCGCGTTACCACTGTACCCCGGCGGCCCCATTGTGATTTCCACTTTATGTGTATTAATAAGTCCTGGAAAATAGATTACCCCTCCCCCCCCACGCGCTAACAAAATACAAAATCGACATTTTTAATAGTTGATAAGCTTAGATGGATTTTGTAATCGAATATAATGATATAAAAATAGCAAAATATGGGTAATTGCATCAATATCATAATAACACCGAACAACAGAAAGATCATTAGAAAAAAAGAAGAGAGAGAGAGAGAGAGAGAAAGAAAAAAGATCACACAAGATTCCTACAGACCAGAGACAGAAATAAATCGCTCTAGGTCAGACGCCGAACTCTAATATTATGTGACTTACGGTTCGACACAAGTCACGGAGGAGCCAGGGAGCGCGGATGGTGGGGGGAGGGGAGAGAGAGAGGGGGGGGAGTGACTGCCAGACCGTGTGACGAGAGGTGCAAGTCACACAGATCTTGTTATGCTTCGCGTCACGATTGTACTCTCACTTCTAAGATAACGCTGAACTCCTTTTGGGTGTTATGGGAGGGTCGTTTGTCAGTGTGTGTTTGGGTATATGCTCACGCGGACGCACGTGCACGGACGTATATGTACATATAATCTCGCGGGCACAAACGCACCCATATAGATATGCATATGCACAAACGCACACAGGTAAATACACAAACACACACAAACACACACACACACACACACACACACACACACACACACACACACACACACACACACATACACACACAGAGGTAAATGCAAAAAAACACAGATACAATATCTTATAGACGTTAATACAAATATAAACAAACAAGCATATTTCACACAAGCTCACATACACCGATACTAAAGCACTATCACTTGCCAGTCTTTATATGTGTTATAGAATATGATCATTAGATTAATAAATCAAACGAACGCACGCGCTTGACAATCATTTGAGGATTAGACATTCAAATTAACATATTTATCTTCACGCTGGAAAATTTTGATTGATTTTTGTTATTGTTAATTTTTTGTAATAAGGTTTTAGCTTTTCTAATGTCATATCGATTTTGTTTTTTTCTTTATTTGATGTATTTCTATTTTGTTTTCTTACAAAGGCCATAATATTCTGGTTTAAAAGGAAACATGAAAAGGGGAAACAAAGGACAGGCAAAAAGCGTGAGGGAGAGAATAAAAGGGATGTATTAAGGATCGGTAGAGACAGAGAAAGATGGAGAAGAAGGTTTGGTCAAGTCTTCGAAGCACACACACACACACACACACACACACACACACACACACATACACACACACACACACACACACACACACACACACACACACACACACACACACACACACACACACACACACACACACACACACACATACACATACACACACACACACACACATACACACACATACACACACACACATACACACACACACACACACACACACGCACGCACACACACACACACACACACACACACACACACACACACAACACACACACACACACACATACACACACACACACACACACACACACACACACACACACACACACACACACACACACACACACACACACACACACACACACACACACACACACACGCACGCACACACACACACACACGTATACACAGATACAAACACACACACACACACACACACACACACAATACACACACAAACTCCCCCCCTCCCCCCCACACACAAACACTTACCCCCCCCCCCCCCCACACACACACACACACACACTACACACGCAAGGAGAACTCAGCAGCGACTAAACGAACGCGGAAATGACTTCAATTCTCCGCTTCATTTGACTCTAATATCATTACCTCAATCAACGCCTTGCTCTTATGCGGGAGGTGATTTAGCACAATTCATCAAGGGACCGCGAAGATAACCTTGCAAAGTTGCATGTGCTTTCGTTATGTGCAACGTCGTTATCACTGTTATTATGCAATGATAGTCGTAAACAATGGGAAAGTTATGTTTACGGGAATAGTTTTATGATTAAAGGATTTTTTTTCTTTATTATTGAATTTTGTTGATATATTTTTTAGATCATATTAAAAAAAACCAAAGCATTCAAAAAACAAAAAAACAAGAAAAAGACTATTTAGTTAATAAGCAAACATGAAAAAAGAAAATTGCTGTCCATTATAAATTTCAAGATCACGGATTTATCTGTATTTTTATATGTATATATTTTCTTTTATAATAATGATCGCTATTGTTATTTATATTTTATGGCGCGAGATGGAATTAATGTAACCAATTTTCTTTAAGACAGTGTTAAAAATTTATTTTACGAAGGATTAGTCATCTATTTTATCTTAGAGGACATTTGGAAGAAGAATGGGAAGAAAAAAAAGAAAGGAAATATTTTCTTTAAGACAAAGGAATAAAAAAAGATATTTTGCGAAGGATAAAAGAAAAATATTTTGCGAAGGATAAAAGAAAAATATTTTGCGAAGGATAAAAGAAAAATATTTTGCGAAGGATAAGACAACTCTTTTATCTTAGAGGACATTTGGAAGAAAAATAGAAAAAAGGGAGGAAGGAAGTAAGGAATACATGAATAAATCAATAAATAAATATATAAAGAAAGAAAAATAGGTAGGGTGGAAGAAAGAAAGGAAGACAGAGAGAAAGAAAGGAATAAATCAATAGATAAATAGATAAAGAAAGTAAGGAAGAAAGAAAAGAATAAATGAAGAGAAAAATAAAAAAAAGAAAGAAAATAAGGTAGAAAGAAAGGAATAAAGAAAGGAAAAAAACAAACAGATAAATCAATCAATAAATTAACAGATACAAAAAAATGAATAAAGAAGTATACGCACTTGATAGATTATAGAAAAATGAAGCAAAAATCATATATCAGTTCAATGTCATTATTTCTAAAGTTATTATGGTGCTTTTATATTTCCGAGAAGAGCAGGAAGAAGAAGAAGAAGAAGAAGGAAAAAAGAAGAGGAAGAACAAGATGGAGAAATAGAAGAAGATGATGCAGAAGAAGATGAAGAAGTAGAAGAGGAGGAAGAGGAGAAGGAGGAGGAAGAAGCAGAAGAAGAAGAAGAAGAAGAAGAGGAAGAGGAGGAGTAGGAGGAAGCAAAACAAGAAGAAGAGGAAGAAAAAAGGAGGAAGAGAAAGAAGAAGAAGAAGAAGAAGAAGAGGAAGAGGAGGAGTAGGAGGAAACAAAACAAGAAGAAGAGGAAGAAAAACGGGGGAAGAGAAAGAAGAAGAAGAAGAGGAGGAGTAGGAGAAAGCAAAGAAGAAGAAGAAGAAGAAGGAAGAGGAGGAGGGGGATGAAGCAGAGGGAGAAGAAGAAGAAGAAGAAAAACAACAACAACAGCAACAAGAGGAGGAGAAAGAGAAGGAAGAGGAGGGAGCAGGAAGAGGAGGAGGAGGAAAGAGAGATTACGGAAAGATTAGAATATCGTAAAAAAAACTCTATATCTATGATAGGTTTGTTTATTTTAACGGAAAAAAATATCCAAGGATTTTGTATCATAATTTTCCATATGTATGCATTTCGATAAGAAGGACAAACTCAAAATTTTGAAACACAGGTAGACAAAAAAAAACAACAACAAAAAACTGAGAAACGCATCTTTGGGAT